GACCGTCGCGGCCAGCATTGCCGAGCTAGCAAGCGCCATCCCTTCGTCTGCCGGAGTGTACCACTGGGCCTCCGTCACACCCGGCCGCCGATGGGGCCGCGTCGTGGGCTTCTTCGCCGGATGGTGGAACTACCTTGCGTGGATTCTCGGCGCGGCCAGCATGGCATCAATTTTCGGCAACACGGTGGTCCAGATGTACGCGCTCAACCACACGGGTTTCGAGGCCAAGCCCTGGCACGTCTTCATCGTCTACATCATCGCGACATGGCTTGCATGCGCCATTGTCTGCCTGGCTAATAGTGCTATGCCGCGGATTAACGATTTTGGTGTCTTTGCGATTGTAGCAGGTTTCCTCATCACCGTCATCACTGTAGCCGTCATGCCCGGTCGAGACGGACGGCCGCCGCATGCATCATCCTCCTTTGTTTGGACCGAGTGGACCGCCGACATCGGATATCCGAACGGCTTTGTCTTTGTGGCCGGAATGTTAAACGGAGCTTTCAGTGTCGGTGCCGTCGATGCTACGACCCATCTAGCGGAAGAGATCCCGAACCCGCAGCGTAACGTCCCCATTGCTCTCGGCCTCCAGCTGGGCATTGGCTTCATCACCGGGTTCTGTTATTTGGTCACCATCATGTACGCGATCAACGACTATGATGCCCTCTTTGAATCTCCGTATCCCATCGCCGAAATCTACCGTCAGGCCACCGGCTCCGCTGCTGGCGCGACTGGGCTGCTCGCCCTCGTACTCATATGCATCGGTTTGACGCTCATGGGTCTATACATCACCTGCGGTCGAACACTATGGGCCCTTGCCCGTGACGGCGCAAGTCCCCGTCCCTCCCTTCTCGGACATGTAAGCCCAAGGCTGGGCATGCCCATGTGGTCTACAGTCTTGTCAGCCATCCTAGTCACGGTTCTTGGAGCAATCTATGTCGGTAGCACGACAGCTTTCAACGCTTTTGTCGGGAGCTTCATTCTTCTCTCGAGTAGCTCCTATCTCGCTGCCATACTACCTAACCTCCTTTCAGGGCGGAAGATGGTCGCGTACGGACCCTTCCACATGCGTGGATGGATTGGGTTCGCCATTAACGGCATCGCATGTTCCTACATGTTGGTGTGGTTCGTCATCTACTGCTTCCCTTTCGCTCTGCCGACCAATGCCCAGTCGATGAACTACGCATGCTTGATATGGGGCGGCTTCACCATTTTTGTTGGTCTATGGTGGTTGCTGGGGGCAAGAAAGGGGTATGAGGGTCCGACAACGACGGGAGGTGCCGTGATAGAGGCAACATCTCACCACCATGCGGCCTAAGCTACTTTATATTCAAAAGTATGAATGTCTTTTCAATGTCAACGACTTGTACCAAATACGTGTCTACAGCTCATGCGTCCCTGCGTGCAGTAGCCTTCTTGTGACTAGCACCAACTACTTTACACAGATATGCATTGCCCCATGGAGAGATACCCGCTCTATTGAATATTCAAGCGATTTGAGCACAGATCTCTCCGCTCACTCAAATGTTTCCGCCGTTATGAGGAATAAAAGTTTCCGGACAAAATGTTGTAATGTATCGATACGGGATTGATTCAAGGCAGTCGTGGCTTGGCACTACAGCGGGAAAGTATCTAGTTCGTGAGACACGTCTTATGACACCTCAGCCGACCGTTGTGGCAGCGCATGATCGGTTTCGCTCGGCTCGTGAAGTCGTCCAAGCTACCTATCAACCATGTCATAGAAGCAGGAAGCTACACCACAGCCCGTGTGAGATGCACAAGACTCCTCTACCTTTCGACTATCACTAACACGTAGAAGCAAGCGTTCAGATGAATATGTGCGTATCAGTGCTTTGACTTACCGGGGTTTCAGCAATGTTTCCGGGCGGAAGGTTTTTAGGTCCACGACGTGGGACAACGGGAACGGTGGGATTGAGGGGGGAAACTACGCAGGCGGCGAAATGATAGTCCGACGCGGAGCGTCTACTAATACATCATTGACGGCAGTTGTCTCAACCAATCGACACCCACCCCAACATCCCGTTCCTCCCCCAGCTCTTGCACCCCCGGGCTTTCACCGGTACGATTTGATATAGGCAAGATCTCCCGTCAGCCAGCTAGCGCCAAGCATCTGCCAAAATGAGAAGCAAGGCTACATCGTCTGCCCTCAGCTCATATAACGACACCGCCTATGCGTACAACCTCGGCACATTCCATCGCGCCGTGAGTACTTCAAGCCAAGATGCCCAGGTCTGGTTCAACCGCGGCCTAACGTGGGCGTATGCCTTCAACCATGAGGAGTCAGCGAGGTGCTTCCGGAAAGTCATTGAGTATGATCCCTTCTGCGCCATGGCTTATTGGGGGCTCGCATTCGTCCTTGGGCCCAACTATAACAAGCCATGGAAGGTCTTTGATGGAGAGGACCTTGCCGATACGACCAAACGCGCACATCATACGATCATGCAGGCAAAGAGCCACTCAGGGAAGGCTACGCCGGTCGAGATTGCGCTCATCGATGCACTGTCTTGCCGTTATCCGCAAGAGAAGCCGGCGGAAGATTGCTCTAAGTGGAATGAGGATTATGCCCAAGCCATGGACTCGGTGCTTCAAGCCTACCCCGATGACCTCGATGTGGTCGCCTTGTGGACAGATGCCACGATGAACGTCACGCCTTGGAAGTTGTGGGACTACAGGACTGGAAAGCCAACGCCAGGCGCCAGGACGTTGGAGATCAAAGACGTGATGGACCGCACATTCAGGCTAAGAGGCTCTTTGCAACATCCAGGCCTACTTCACTTATATATCCATCTGATGGAAATGTCGCCAACTCCGGAAGCTGCCCTGACTATAGCTGATAATCTCCGCGGGCTTGTCCCAGACGCGGGGCATCTCGAGCATATGCCCACGCATCTAGACATTATATGTGGAGAATACCGTCGCGCCATCGCTTCCAACTCTGACGCGATCCGTGCCGACTCTAAGTTTCTCGCTCGCGAGGGTCCTCTCAACTTCTACACGCTGTATCGGTCTCATGACTTCCACTTCAGGCTATATGCCGCCATGTTGTGCGGTCAGTCCCGGGTAGCCCTCATAACGGTGGAAGAGCTCGAGTCGACCATATCCGAAGATCTACTACGAGTCGAGTCACCACCAATGGCAGACTGGCTCGAGGGTTTTCTCGGTATGCGAATGCACGCTCTGATACGCTTTGGACGTTGGGAAGCTATTCATGCTCTTGAACTCCCGCGAGACCCCAAGCTTTACTGCTCAACCACCGCCATGACACATTATGCAAAGGGTATAGCCTACGCTGTGCAGGGCCGAATTGAAGAGGCGGAAAAGCAGCGCGTATTATTCGCCGAGGCAGTTAAACGGGTACCGGAATCGCGCTCAGTCTTCAACAATACTTGCCTGTCAATTCTCTCCATTGCCGAGGCTATGCTGGATGGAGAGATGGCGTACCGAAAGAAGGATTACGACGTCGCTTTCGCCTATCTGCGCAAGGCCGTGGAGAGAGACGACGCCTTGCCCTACGATGAGCCTTGGGGCTGGATGCAACCAGCACGACACGCGCTCGGCGCGCTGTTGCTGGAGCAGGGTCATGTCGAGGAGGCAGCGGCTGTCTATAGTGCAGACCTGGGAGTTGACGAAACCTTGCCTCGGGCTCTGCGGCACCCCAACAATGTTTGGGCACTTCACGGATTCTACGAGTGTCTGATGAAGTTGGGCAGGGTTGACGAGGCCAAGATCCTCAAGCCGCAGCTCCAGCTAGCTCTAGCCGTGGCGGATGTTCCTGTCAAGTCTTCATGCTTCTGTCGCTTGAAGACGGTCGATTGACAGGTGCGGTCCCTGAGGCCTCCATTCCAGCGTCGCCTCAGAGACCTTGAGAGACCACGTGCCAGTTTATGACACTGGTCCCTGGGCGAGGAAATGGACGGTGTAGTGAGATAGATCATTGAAACACACATCTTCAGACTGACAAGAGCATTGGACGGAACGGACATGGGCATTATCGGAAGGGACTGCATCTACGGAGAGCATTCGTTTCGCGCTTTAGCAGAACAAGAAGAGACTCCTTTTGCTTCACTGGGATTGCAATTTGCTATGGAGACAGGTAAGGTCACAAATATGAAAGGCGTTGGTTTGTGAATGCTTTGCGCGCATGCGAGTGGGATCCGTCTTCTCTTAGTCTTATCAGTTCCGTGATCAAGTCTCCCTGTCTTTAAGCATTCCAAATGATGGATACACTCCAAGGGTGTTGATTTCACTGTTTACTTCAATCTAGAGAAAGCTATAAATTTTACACAACACAGAGTTCTCAGTTCTATACACGTAGATTCCAGAGCAGAAGCCCAACTAGTTCATGGCCAGTGAAAGTGGGTCAAGGCCACCGTCTTGACGATTTACAGACTCTATTCTGCCCATCAGTCTTGCAAGCTCCGAAGAAAATATGACCTCGCATCGGCGTTTGTAACTCGCGCTGCTGCAAATGTGAGGCCACTTCACAAGTTTAGAAGATAGGGGAAGCCGGTGGGCAGCGGACTTCCGACTGCCTAATTGGCAAGTTCTAGGCCGACGCCAAGAAGAATTGCCAAGTGATGCAAGTCTGAACCTACCAATTTACTTTGAGTTACTCTCGGAGAGGAGCTATTGTGAAACATCGGTAGTCATCAAATGAGAAATCTAGCAACGGTTTACAGTCACAAAGAGTTTCGGGTCGTACCTGCCAAAGTTGAGTAGCCTGGATGAGCCGAACTGAAGTTATTCGAGAAACAGAGGCAACACTTTCCATTCCAATGGTCAGTGTGAATTTTACAACTACTTGGAGGAATGAATAGTGCAAGTATATACGTGGCCTCCCGGTTGTGTTTGTATAGATATGTACAAGAAGTCAAAATGGACTAGATCTAGCCCGATGTTTAGTTTTCCAAAGTTCCCGGTGTGGTCTTACAGCCGCCGGGGCAATGAACAATGAAGTCTACAAGAAACCGTGCCTTGTGTGCTTAGCCGGAGCAGGTGCCAGCCTTGGAGGGTTCGCATCCACCAGCGCAGCCGTTGTACATCTGGCACTTAGTCTTAGTGTCGGCGCAGACATTCTTGAGGGTGGCGGTGTCCTTGTAGGTCAGGTTGATTCCGGCCAGCTCTCCGCCGTTCTTGGCGGTGACGCCCTCCATGTAGACGTTGCGCTTGCACTGAGTCTTGCACTATGAAGGTTGAAAGAATGGTTAGCTGGTTTTGTTGCCAGACAAGAGGTATATATTCCAGGAATTATCAACGTACGTTTCCGCAAGAGCGGTAGAGCTTGCCGTAGTCCTCGACGTAGTAGTTGATCTTAAATCACTATTAGCAGTGCTTATTTGAGAGCGAAGAGCAGTCGATCGATACTCACCACGTTGACGGTACCGCAGCCGTTGTGCTGAATGACCTTGTCAGAGGCGTGGTACGCACCACCACCGACAATCCAAGTCTGGGTTCCGGCCTTGTCGTTCTTGATGGAGATGGCGTCCTCGCAGACGTCCTCGAACCAGACGAACTCAAGAGTGCAGTGTCCATTGCAGTGGACACCCTCAGCCTGGTTCTTACCAATGATGGCATTCTTCAGGGTTCCGCCAGCCTGAATGTAGAAGACGGAGTCCTTGTAGTCTTGGAGAAGGGAATCATGTTAGGTACCTGCCCTCGGGCACAGCTAGTATGCGTATAATAAAACGTTGGCTACTCACCACCCTCGGACTGGCCACCGCAGGCACCGGAGCCGCGGTCGAAGCGCTGCCACTTTCCGTCATAGACCTGACCAGCCTTGATCTCGATGTAAGACTTGGAGGTCACGGTACCGGTAGCCTTGGGAACACCGCCAGTGTAGCCGTTGCAGGCGAGAGCGCCGGGAAGGGCGGCCAACAAAGGCACCAGGCCAAACTTGAGGAATTGCATGATGAACAAGAGTATATACACTTGCAGAAAGAATGAATGAATGTAGTAGTTGGTTTAAAGTTGAAAGAAGGTGAGAGTGATGGTCAGAAAGAACTGGATACGAATAGGCTGGACAACCCAAGGACTTATATGCAAACCTTCTCAAGACAGAGGTTCCTGGTTCACACAAATTCTGCCAAGGCTGGAAAGCTCACACTATTCCTATCGCAACTTGGCCACTCATCATAGAAGTCTAGGCAAACGGGCCATGTATTGCCTGTGTCAGGACTAGTTGAGGGGGGGTTCCCCAAACCCGCGGCTGAAGAAACGACGGATCGCACGGGGATTCGGATCATTGGTGGACATATAAACAGGCGTGCCTGGGAGATGCCTGCATGGTTGCTTCTGCTCGATGCTTGTAGTCGCTGATGGAGTCACTTTGGAGATTTGCCCCGCGTACCGGCGTCTGCGTTGGAAACTTGGTTGTGTTCTGGTCCCGCCGAATGCTGTACCTGGCAGTCACTTGTTGTCAACACGGCATGTAAGGGGCGGCACAGTACATGTAATGAAACTGCTGGGCTCAGTTGAACCCGAAGGAGCCTGACTTAAGAAGCGTCCTCCACTGTCGAATCACAGGATTCTGCCGTATTGTAGATTGCCACCAAGCCCTGAGTCTACGGTGTATCTGCAGATATGTGAAATACTTGATCGGATCACGGATGACGGTGTGACGGTAAGTTGTTCATCTCTTCGGCGTTCGGCCAGAGGCGACCCAATGAGACGGCAATTCCGACCTCAAAAAGAGATTAAGCTAGGTGGTAACGAATCTGGGAGCCCGACGACCAGGTTCTTTGCGCAAGGGGCTCCTCTGAGTTGGCCTCTTCCCGAGCAGTAGACGAATCAAGCGTGTCCAACAAAGGTGATACCGTGATCCTGCTGACATCCTGTCTCGGAGGTCACAACAACAGTGGTCTGTCAGCGAGGATGGGATCAACGCAAAAAAAGAGTCCATTCCATCAAATGGGTTGTTGTTGGTGGTGGTCTGTAAGGCGGAGTTGCCAAGACTCTTGTGTGCACAATGGGATGGATTGCCGCAGCTAACAACCCAGTCCGGTGCTGGATGTTGATTAATGCCAAGAGTCGAAGGCTCTTCTTCGAAAATTGCCAGGGGAAATTTGCCCCGCACACCGTTCTTTTGGGCGGTGTTTTCCATTATTTGTTTTTTTATTTCTACCTTTGCTGGCTGCTCGGGCGATTCTCGATATCGGTTACACAGTATTAACACACAGTATCAGTGGATACTCCCACTGTGTTTTCCATTATTCCTATGACAATCTTGCAAGGAAAAAGAACTCACCGATCCAGTCGTCGTTCAGGACGGACTCTCCTTAAGACTGGAGTATCATCGGAAGCGAACGCCATTCATCGGCCCCACCGCGATCGAGACCGAGGACCTATGATCTGTTCTCCGGGAGTCTGTCTAACCATGCCTAACCTTATGAAGCACCCATGTCGCCAACAGTGTTCTACCAGCACGTTTGGCGGCTGTCATCTGAAGTTCTGAAGCAGCCCCGCCTACCCTTGCTGCCTTTTCCTTATTCCTAAGAATCCTGGTCACCTGTTATCGAGGTAATTGGACCAACATTCACGCTTCCCACGTGCCCAGCCCTTGGGACCTACCTGTTGCCTTTCCTCACTTCAAAGTTCAGGGGCATTTGGGGTTATCTCCCGCTTTTCCTCCATCCGAGGGTCCGTTTCTGAGGCTATGCTGGATGTCAATCCGGCTTCTCTCCGGAACCCACAGGCAGCCGGGCGAATCGTTCTCTTCCCGCCGCCTTGTGGGCATTGGAAATGGACATGTTTGCCCAGCTTACTGTATAATAGTACTGTCGGATTAGAAGTCTAATTCGACCGCGGTATACGGCCGACTGCGCAGGGGCCAATTAGGGGCCCTATTTACGATTATCGTAGCTAGCCTAACCTACGGTTAGAACCTCCTTTTTATACCTACTACGTAGATATTTATATAGTTTAATTAATCTCTTCGTTAACCTATAGTTCGAACTAACTACCCTATAATAAGGATACTAATACTAATTAGTAATTAAATTCTATTATTATAAATTGGTAAAGTATCTCGTTATGTAAAAGAGACGACTTCTTAATACCGTACGAGATAGGAGATTCGTACTAATTAACCTTATAGAAGTAAATAAAAAAGGGGGCGATTTTTAAATACTATATAGAATTAAGTAATCGTAGCCCCTTACTACTTACGAGAGGTCGATATTTACTACGTTAAACTACGTTAATTAATAAAACTATTTAAATAATTAGACTTTTACTATCGCCTTAAATAGCTCTTTTATTAAATAACTTTTCCGTAGCTAGCCCGTAATTAAAAATTAACTAGTTAAATTAGTAAAAAGAAATACTTACGTAGTAACTACCCGCCCTATTAATTAGCGCAATGGGCGAGCTTAATAATATAATATAAAAAAGCACCGCGCAATTAAAAAAAGGGATCTCTAAACATAAATATTCTTAATTAGTATAATAAGAAGTATATAGGAGTTATTAAGCTAAGAAATTTATAATATATAAAAAAACCTACTACTACGAGGATCTTATAAGTATAACCTTAAGCCTACGATTTAAATAACCTCTTTATAACTCCCTTAACTACCCTCTAAGTATTACTTAGGAATATAATATAAAGGACGGTTTAACAAAAGAAGAGGGGATTTAGAAATCCTAACGGTATTGAGTTAAGAATATTACGGATCTTAGAGATTAACTTAGAAAAAAAGTAGCTACCCTAAAATAATCCTACGACCTCCTAATAGAGTTATTATTAGCTTAAAAAAAAACTAAAAAAACGAGGATCTAAAAAAAAAAAAAAAGAATCCTCTAGAGGGTTACTAAAAAGCTTCTTTTTATACTAACTCCCGGCGCGAGATTACTAATTTTAAAAAACTAACTAAATAATAAAAAGGATCGCTAGTAAGCGGTAATTACCTAACTATAATTAAGCTATAAAAAAGACTACTTAAAAAATATAAAATAGGGTACCGAGAGGCCGTATAAAACGAGATTTTTAAAATATCTAACCCTACTATATACGAGCGATAAGTAAGTATTTTTAATAAGTCCTTAAAATCTACGATTTTATAAAAAAGAGGGCTTAACTTCGTTAACCGTACTTAATAGCCTATATAGCTCCTTTACGAGCCGCCCGGCGTTTATTTTTAACTATTCTTATAGAATACTACCCTAAGGGAGGTAGGTCAAAAAAGGAGGCTATTTAGAAATTATAAAGAGTACGAGGCTTAGGAAGCTAAAAGCGTACGAAATAGTAAATATCGGTAACTAGTAAAGATCTTAAGACTAATTACTATATCGTCCTATAGTAATATAAACGTCTACTATTATTATTAAAAAAAGGAACTACTAAAACTTACCCTTTTATACTAAATAAAAAAGAGGATCTTAGTAAGTACGATAGCTAGCGATTTAAAAGGGTAGTAATAATCGCTAGAAATAATAAAAACGAGAGTAATAGCGAGATAGTAAAAAGAAATAAAAATCTCCTAAACCCTAATAAATTTGTTAAGTAGCGAAAGTACGGATTTACTACGGCTAGTGCGCAAATTAAATATATCCCCGTTAAGATTAAATACGCTAATAACTACTAATATAGGTATAAACTAAAGTACGACCCTTAGCGAGTTAAGGTAAAAAAAAAGAGGACGAAACCCGATCTTAAATAGAATCCTAATCCCTTATAAATAAATAAATATTAACCCGGATTATTAAGGGACGTAGATATATAGAATCGCAGATTAACCTAATAGTAAGTAAATTAACATAGTATTAATCTATTTAACTAAGGTTTATAAAAAAAAGGGGCTATAGGGGTAACCCCTATTTTATAAGATCGTAAACGACCTTAGCTACTAGCTAAATAAATAGTTCGCGAGCATAAGCCTAGGAATTATAAAAATAATTAATAAATTCCTTTATAAGCGAGGGGTATTACTAGCGTAGTTATAATCATAAAAACCGTACGAAATCCTAATAATAACGATTATAAAAAAAGAATTCGTACTATAAAACTAAGTATAAGTTAATAAGGTATATAATTATTTTAACGAATTTAAAAAAAGGGTAAATAACGCAGATTTCCTCTCTATAATTACTAATAGTAATCTATTATTATAAAAAGATATATAAAAATAAAATATAATACTAAAAGTATAATAATCAATAATTCTACCTATTTTAATCTATAGCTTATTACCGCTACTAATATAAAATTCGGTACTAATTAGCTAATAAAAAAAAAATAAACGACCCGAAGTTACTAATAATACGTAGCTACGCAAGGATCGCATATAAATATTAAAAATATAGTAGCAAATATAAAATAATTTACTAACCTTAAAAAGATCTTCTTAAAAAAAAAATTATACTCTGGGGGGAAGTATAAGGTCTTATAAAAAACCCTAACGATATTTTACGACTATTATAAAAAAGTCGGGATTAGGGAATATTAATACTATTTAGTAATTAATATCGTATTTATAAGCAAAACCTCTAATTACTACTATAAAGCAGTACGTAATCTCAATTAAAACGACTTTCTTAGTATTATTAACGTAATCTAAAGCCGCTTCGAGACCTATAATAAGAACCTAGAGCTCCTATTTAAACTACGAGCGATTTCTTTTATATTTATAGCTAGGATAATAAAGGGTAAATCGTAAATAAAGATCCTTAAAAAGCTTATTAATTAAATTAATAAGTTAATAAAAACCTAGCTAAATAAGAAAACTAATAAATAAAAAGTTAGATATTTTTATACCGCAATCTAGCGTATATTAAAAGTAAAAATAACCCTATACTAAGTACCTAAAGACTACAAGATACTATACTTAAGGCTAAAATCTAGTTTTAATATTAAAATAAAAATACTATGCTAAACCTACCTCTAAGTATACGACGGCCCTTACTAATAATAT